ACATATTTATAATATATGTGATATCTGTATATATGTACTTATAATATATATGATATCTGTATATATTTATAAAATCCCCTACAGTTGACTCACGAATTCTTAGAAACTATTTAGTTACACTTACACACACTAAGTCCACTCAAATAAACAACTTTATCTACCTAAATACAAAGACTAATTGGTATTACCTCGACTTTTGACGTGCCCCAAGCTTTTTTCAATTTTCCAGCTATTTGTCAAGCGTAAAAATGGATTTGTCAACACTAAAATAATCAAAGCTTTTTATACACATTAAATTAAAATTTTAAACTGAAGTTTTAGAAAATATTTGTGATTGAATTAATAAAATTGAGAGGAACCCCTATCAAAGCTCTATGGTCTATGCTTAGTTGTAATATTATAGTAAGCATATAACTAAGTTCAACATTTAATAAAGCTTTTCTATGCTTTAAGCTGCCTGATTCGAGTTGATTAAAACACAAAATATATAGCCAATTATAATTTTAGCCGACAAGTTATAAATTTAGTTATAAAATAATAATTTAGAAAAAAATAATATAGTTCTAATTTAAAAATTACTAAATAAGAATTAACAAAATAGAAAGAAATAAAATTACAAAAATATTCATTTCTGCATAAAGTTTCAACTCGATTTTAATTGCTATTAGCCCAATATCACGAACTCTGTTCTACACTCAAGTTGTTATACAATACAAATAGGAAATTGACTTCATATCGTTTAATTTAGATAAAACTATTTGCTACAGCAATAAAATAACTGTTTAAACTACATACACACATACACATACACACATACATATGGCATATGCCATTCTACTTATATTTGTTTCGTCATTTGTCTCATTCTCCGTCTTTTGTTTTCATTCTTTTTGCTTACCAAATCGTCACCCAAATCGGAATCGCGTTCAATAGTGTTATTTGAACGGCCGCTGCAATCCATAGTCGGATGCACTCGGAGTTGCATTAGTGCGAAGTTTTTTATTTAGTGCGGGCTTCGGGTGAAATTTGATTTCGATTTCGAATCGGATATGGAATTTTGATAATTATAATTGCAAAGCGCAGTTGGCAAATTGTTTCGATTTATAGCGGAATCAATGCGCGAGCTTTCAACTTTCTACGTAATTTTCACAGCACACTTTGTTATTATTATTATTACTATTATTATTGTTTCTTTTGCTTTTGCTTGCTCTCTCTCTCTATCTCTCTCGTTCACACTCTTTTTCGCTTCGCTGTTTGTTTGCCTGTTTTACATTTGCTTTTGCTCCTGCGTTTATAGCATCGATTTACCGTTATCAAATATTCGAATTGTCACCTCGCTGTGCGCTCTTCGTATTGTTGTTGTTGTTACTGCTGCTGCTGCTGTTGATTTCGGTTGATTCCGCTGAAGTTGTGCCAAAAGGGAATAGCTCGAGAAGCACCGTTAATCGAACTCGCGTTATTTTTGGGGTTTCGCTTGTTTTTAATCTTTTCTTTTTAATTTCAGCACAGGCCCAGATTAGCTTGAATTATGATTGAATTCTATTAAATTTAACACTAATTTAAATAATTAAAATGTTATCGTTCTCCTTGTTGTCAGCTCCTTTTCGAACGCTCACAATAAACACACACACACGCAACACCAAAACACATTTAGGTTACATTGGAATCGTCGGCGAAACGTTGCTGTTGTTGCTGTTACCTGATGGTGCCTGATCGGTATGATGATCGGCTCCTGTTGCTTATTAATTAACAATTTGTTCATTTATTTCACGTTTGATATCGCGCACTGTCCGCCGCTTTCGCCCGACGCACACGGAACTCCAATTGGGAATAAAAATAATTCTCTCAGCACATCAAAAACGACGCGACGAAAAGACAACGCGCGGCACAACTGTCTCTCTGTCGCTCGTTCTCTCTCCTGGCAATGCCATTCACTCTCTTGTGCTGTCGTTCGCATTGGAACGGCTGACATGTGGAACGTGTGTGCGCGGTGGCTGCGCTTGTGTGTTTGTGCCATTCCCATTTGTTTTCAATTGTGATGCCGCTCGGTCTCTCTCACTCTCGCCAGCTGGTCTGGCTGGCTGGCCAATCGGATTGCCGTTTCAGCTGTGCTCAGGTGGCATTCAATTAAATTTGTAATCGTAATCTATTCAATACGAAGCTCGTGTATGTGTACAATGCGCTCGCCGCTCATTCGCTCGCTGCACACACACACACACACGGCTCATTTGTAGATAGCTGAGTGTGTGTATGTGCGTATTTGTGTATAAGCTCTTAGTGGGGCTACACTATTGAGCATGTTTTTGGTGCTTGAGTCGAGTGTTGTTTGTCTACTTCGTAATGGACCCATTTTGCATAACGCAAATCAATGCAAACATGCTGAACAGTGCTTTCGTGTGAGTGCGCAAGTGTGAGTGTATGTGCTTGTGTGTCCATTTGTACAGTTTGTGTATCTTTCAATCATAAATATGCCGCTTTTTTATACGCGATTTAATTTAAAATACGCCCTTTTCATACGGAGAGCCGTAGTTTCGTGGGGCGTCAACATTTGTGTGGCTTGCCTATGCAAGCAAATGCCGTTTGATATAGAGGGAAAACAGGCGAGCAAATTACACACTTTCCACCAGCGTCGGGAAAATACCAAATACAAGCACACGAACTTGATTAATGATTTGCGAGATAAATTACACTTGTAATGGCCCACAAACAAAACAAAAACAAAAAAAAAAAAAAAAAAAAAGTAGGTAGGTCGCTTTGGTAGTTAGGTGGGTATAGGTGGGAATGAATGTTTGGCTATATAGATAATATGGAATACCATTTACCGTTACATTTGCCAGCAGCCCACGCAAATAATTGCAGTTGCTCTTCGATTTTCACTAATTCGAGATTGATGAAAGCAGCGCTGCAGCAGCGCGGCAGCAGAGAGTATATCAATATTCTCTCAACGGCCTGTCTGAGGAAACTTAGTATATATGGAGTGTATGTATGTATATATGTAYATGTGTATTTGCACGCATTGGCATTTTGTAGGGAGCGCAGGCGCTCATCAAACACCACCAGGAAGGGCACAGAGCCAGCCCCAGTCTTAGCCGCAGCCGCAGCCACTGTACAAGATAGAGGGGGGCGGGGTGTCTGTGGCAGTGGGGTGTTTGCCACCCCCCAAGCGCCAATGACGAGGCGGCAGCGACCCACAGACTTGACTGATGATGAAGTGAGAAAGTAATTAAATACAATTTTAAATGTGACTAATGAGACGACGTCAAATTCGTGGCGCAAATGAGTTGAGCCGCGGGGGCAGGGCGGTAGGTAGGTGTGTCGGGTGTTAGTTGTGGTGGGGTTGGAGTCGCTTGCTCTAACCATCGTCTGTGAGCGCAGCGCATTTATCAATATTCAATAAATAGAACGGCATTTTCGCACGCACACAACGACAGATCCGCAGATCCGCTGTGCGTGTGAAACCAAATGTATCCATAAGATACACACAGCATAAGTGCGCACATACAAGCCAATGTATATGTGTGTGTGTGTGCCTTGGCAAGTATAACAATTACCGTTTGTTGTTGCCGTTGTTAACTTTCATTTGGGGCCAAAGCTATTTGATTTTCAAAGTACGTCCCGTCCGCATTTCAAATCAACGAAACAAAAACGACACGAAAAAACTAAAAAAAAAACCAAAACAACTAAAAAGCACAGGTGAAATTTGTTGTGAGCTGTTTTTGTGTTTAATTCATAGATACATATATTGGTAAATAGATGTACGAGTATGAACATCGTTTATTTGTCAACACGTCCATTTCCTGCATTTTGTGTTTTAGCCGAAAAAATGAAAAATGTGCCCGAAACAATTCGAAAATAAATAAATACGAATAGAGAAACGACAACAGATACAGATACAAATACCTATATATATATATATATATGTATATAGTGTGCATATATATTTGTATCTATTTACATGTATTCCATGCTTTTTGTCGGCTTTTAGAGGCCTCATTAGTTGATGACTCTTACGAGTTTCAGATTTGGAAATTACACTTATCCATTGGCGTCTCTTTCCCCTTTTCTGTTTTTTTTTTTTTTTTTTTGGTGTGACTTCATAGGAAATTGAACATAAGAGTTCTTTAGGAATTTGATATTCCATACACGATTGGGGGAATTCTCTGTTCGCTGTTGACGCAAATTTACATTATTTCACCCTTAAAGAGAACAGAAGTTGAATTACCTCTTAGAAGAGCCAGAAGCCCCGAAAACTCATTTATCATTTTTAACGATATTTGTGGACAATTAAAGATTTCAGCTATTTA